ATTTTTACTCTTAAAATAAGATAATTAGATAATATGCACTTGGAATAAGACAATGCAATTATGTTTTCTTATTTTAAGTGTAAATTGTCTTGTTCTATTGGCAAAATTTATATTTTCTCTCCTCAATCCAAGAACAAATGCACTTATTTTAAGAAAAAAATTACTTATCTGGATTTAGATTTTTCCCCGTGCAGACTGATTTGCGAGTGAAACCTTGAAAGCTTGCGAGATCAGGATGGTCTCACGAGGCTAGAGAAATGGGACTAAGCACAGAAAAACAGATCCAAATCTATATGCAGTAATGGAAGTCATAGGCAGCATCATCACAGAGGATACCTCATTCCATAACGGTGCAACAGGCAGGTATAGATGGTTAGATGAAGCTACTATGATGAGATGGAAGTAGATGGAAGTTGAAACAATATTTGATGCAGAATTGTCATTTCTACGGCTGAATGTGTTGTTGTTACAACAACAAACTATTAGGAACAGGCAGAAGTTGGTAGAATAGCCAAAATATTCTCTCAGAGATAGTGAACATCTGAAACTACAGAAAGGTGCTGACTAAACACAGTAAAAGCCTCCTCAGTGGGCATGTGGAATTTGCACAGTGAACTATGATCCCTCCATGGCATTATTTCACCTCAGATGAAGGCCTGATTACTTCAGGGTGAGTTGGAGCCCATCTGATCAATTAAAGAATGGTCAGTGGTCTTAGATTTTAGGCAACAGCCATGCAGTGAAGCAGACATAAGGAAAGATCACAAGCAGCTTTGCAAAAGGAACCAGGTAAGAAGAAGATCCAAACCAAATAAAGGGTTTCCAATAACAAAAAAGAAAGCATGAGTGAGAGGGAGATTTAAAAGCAGGGGCAGGAGCCGCTCCAAGAGCTCTGGAAGGGGATTAAGGGTTTAATGAACTGCCCATTGGAAGCCACACATTTCAGCAGCAGGCATTAGAGCAGGGCAAGGGGTGCCTGTCACAGGAGTGCTCATGTGAGGAGGGAACATGAGTCTGCTACCATAGTGGTTAAAAAAGGCTCTCTCTAAGAACCCACAACTCAAGATATTATGAGAATTTGCAAAAATCCAGATAATTAATTATCTATATCAGAATCAATCATATATAAATGTAAATGTTCTGTTGGGATATGGCTAAAGACTGGAGTGGATACAAACTTCCCTCTATGGCAGGATGTATTATTATTTATCCATGGTGGTCCAGCTCATATGCTGATATTTTTAAGCTAGGGATGTTCCAAAACAAGCCCTCTGTTTCTGATACGATGCTGACATTGCATCTTTGAGTATCGATTGGTACACATATTAACTCAATACAATAGCAACATGAATCATACATACTTTTATTACTTATTTTGTATTGTAGCATATTAGAAAAGGCTTGATCAAGTCTTATTACTCAAACAGAGAACAACAGTCAACAAAGTAGGTGTGAAAATAACCAAACCATTGATCTTCTCCTGCTTATCTGTCAGGGTCACGGTGGGGCGGGGGCTGACAGTCTATGGGGGAAAGCTGGGGTACACCCTGGACAGGTCACCATTCTGTTTTAGGGTAAAACAGAGACATAGAGATGCCAGTTGACCTAACAGTGATACCTTTGGAAAGGAGGGGGGAGGAAGCTGGAGTATCCAGAGAAAACCCACCTATGAATAGGGAGAACATGCAACCTCCATGCAGAAAGACCTCAGGCCAGAAATTGAACCAAATAGAAACAGCACCACCCTGCAGCGCAACACCTAACCCATTTGAGATTAACCAATGGGTGACTTAAAACTCTAAACAGAAACAGAGAGAAGGAGAGTGTCTCTATCAGAATACTGATATGGAAGATTTTAGATGCTGGCTGAGATATTCTGAAATTTTATTTTTTGGTGATATTTGACTGATTTCCAATATTATTATCAGATTCGAAAATCTCTAGTTTAAGCAATCAAGTTTTTTTTCTTTTTTAACTAATCCTACAGTAAATATGTGAAAAGTAGGAAAAAATGATGTGATGAAGTAGGGAAAGAAATTGACCTATTTTACCAGCATATGGCAACATAAAGAATGTTTACTGGAAAGAATATCAGACAATTTCTTTGTATTCGCTACTGTTTACATACGACCCAACAGTAGCACTGCAGCTCAGGTCGTTATTGCTGGACATCAGACAAATTTAAGCTGTGCTTATAGAAGACCCTTATAGAAGATAAAGATAGTCAATAAATATTATATAAATCATCTCCTGTCCTCTATGTTTACATATGAGCTAACATTAGCACTGCAGCACAGATTGCTAATCCTAATGCGTGAGGTCAGAAAGGTGGAGTTTCACTTTCATGCCATCTTTTTAAAATAAAGATTGTAAATAAAACCCAAAACAAACATCCAGAAACCTTCCTATATTAATGCCTAAACTGGTGTCAGCATTGCTGCTCAGTTTATCACTGCAGGATGTTCAGAAAGAAACACAGCTTGGCTATTGCTTCATAAAATATTTAATAAATAATAAATTAAGCTATGACAGAGTTGGGTCTGTTTTCCAGTGCTTAGACCTGTTTCTCTCCTAGACATTCCTATGGGCTCAGTTTACATGTAGGTTAGCACTAGCAATACAGGAAGTCAGAAAGAGGGAAAATTTCAAAATTACATTCCAACAGAATCATTGCCTTTTTTAAACTACTTCAGTAAACCACTATGACTGGTGAAGCTAGAAAACAATTCAAAGTTTAAAGCTTACCAGTGTCAGGTTGGTTTGATGTTTTTGATGACCCAAATGTAGAGATGAGGAGGCAGGGATGAGTTTGTAAATTTAATAAGTTTCCACAAGCAACTGAGGCAAAAATCCAAAAATGAAAGATGCTGAAAGCAAAATTTTAGGAGAACTTCAAGGAAAAACAAACACGAGGAGCCAGGAAATGACAGAGCAACAAAACAACAACAAGCAACCAGCAAAAAGTGACAGAACATGAGGTGTATAAATAGGAGACTGAACAAAGACCAGACTAATCAGCAGATTGGGAGCACGTGTGAACAGAGGAGTCTAGAAGGGAGCTAGGGAAGAAGAGAGTGTTTTCAAAAGTAACTACTGTAGAAAACACAGAATAAACATAGAAAGACGTGAATCAAAGTGTAACTGAAAACTCAAAAAAGAAAACAGAGCCAAAAAGTGCAGAGTCATGACAACCGGAGCCATGTTTTAAAATCCATATAAACAGGATCAGGGCTGCTCAGTGGAGCAGTTGGTAGCACTGCAGAAGGTTCCTGGTTCAGTTCCTGGCCTGGGGTCCTTCTGCATGGAGTTTGCATGTTCTCTCTGGGTACTCTGGCTTCCCCCCACAGTCCAATAACATGACTGTTTGGTTAATTGGCTTCTCTAAATTCTCCTCAGGTGTGAGTGTGAATGATTGTCCTGTTTGTCTCTGTGTTGCCCTGTGATGGACGGGCAACCTGTCCAGGATGGACCCCACCTCTCGCCCATAGACAGCTGGAGATAGGCACCAGGCACCCCTTATGTAGCCTGGGTGCCATTCCGAACTTAGTCCCGCCCACAACGTTTGAGGTCGGGAAGTTCGGTCTGGCATTGCTCAACAGTAGCGCGAGTATGCTAGCACAATATCTGGCGGGCCAATCAAATTGTCAGGGCGGGCTTTATACGATGATGGACAGATGATCAACAGTAACGTAATCAACCACGCAAATAAATTTTAAAAGAGGAACAGAGAAACGCGATCAAGGCTCATCT